CACCGAGCTCCTGGGAGCATGAGAGCGGAGATTGGTTTTGCAGATTTGTATTGTTTTTGCCAGTACTGTCACCAGCTTCATATTTCTCAAACTTTGCCAAAAAGCAATTTCCATTTTAGAAAGACAAAGCCTTTTGCGTTTGAATTGGCCTGAACATCTGGATTCGATTTGCATGTCTCTTAGTGCACAGCCAAAAATGCAGAGAAAAGAATTCGGTTGGAGCAGAGGTGGGACGGTTTCAGGCATGATATTAAAATCTGTGGCTGCCTTTAAAGAGAATAGAAGGAGCAACAGCACGCAGCATGTGATGTTACAGTCAGGAAGGTACAGGAAGAAAACTTTGAGAAATGAGCCGAGAAGGAACTTTGTTTCTGGGAGTTGTCTCTTTGAGCAGGCCTGCAGGTGCAAAGGAAACATTTTGCGTTCCATCTATAGCGGTACAAGTCTCACATCATTTATAAACACTTCTGATTTTAGGGGTGCTATGAAACATCACCCACAAGTTCAGACTGCTCCACCCCACAGCGCTAAGCACAGCTTCCTTCTGAAGCATCTTGACACCACTAGCTCTAGAGGATTTGACTATCACCAAAATTGTTACCGTCGCAAAGAAAAAGCGTGCTCCCAGCTGCAACACAGATGCTAGAAGGGCAGAAAACCCACCCCGGTTCCCAACACAGTTCAGCCCCGGCAGCAAAGAGGTGCCCTAGGATGCTGCTGGCTCCCAACCCTTGGTGAGGTCTCTCACTTGGTGGGAATCCCACCCTTGAACACCTGCAGAAGAACCATTCTTCCCGTTTCCCAGGTCCCCCGAGCGCTCCCCAGCCTCAGCCCCTGCCCTCTGCTCCCCTCGCCGCGGGCAGCGGCCCCGGCTGAGCTGCCCCTCACCTCGGGCTCCTCTCGGCCGGTGCCGTCGCAGGCTCCCAGCGGGTGCGAGTCGGGGACAGTGCGGGGTTGGTGCAGCCACATCTGCTTTTTGCTGCTTCCCCCAGCCCAGCCTTCGGCAGGCTTCAGGTTACAGCTTCCCCAGGCTCTCTTAAAGTGCTCTGCTCCCATTTTCCGCTGCTGCCACCCTCCCGCTGAATTGCACGAACTTTTTAACCCTGCCTTCCAAAACAAACGTGCTCCCTGTGATAAGAGCAATCAAGCGGGTAAAGCACGGGGCGGAGAGGCAAATGCTCCCTGCGCTCTTTGAGCAAGTCTCTTATCCCCACAGTTTTGCCATATGTCACATGAGGGAATTTCTTCTGTCTCAGAGGTATGGTTAATGCAGCAGTGTTTTATGGATTTATGTCCAAGATTTGATGGAGAGACTTGGGAAGTGGTAAGCGGGATTCCGTTGCTGTTTAAAGCAGTTAAGGGGAAGACGTTCAGAAATGATTCTATTCAGTGATAGTTACTAGTTAACAAGAAGTTATGTTAATAACTGGCTTGAAGTTTTTTGGCCAAAAAGGAAGAGACTAAAAAGCCAAGGACTCTTGCTAAAAAAGATGAATTAACAGAATATTGTAGGAGCTTACAGAATGATAAATGATCTGGAGAAGGGAAAGGGGCACAGGGGTTTCATTATTTTTTGCAGTAGAAGACTCTAGGGGAGCACCCATCAGTGGACATTTAGATCAAGAGAGTGTATTTTTCATAAGAATTAAACTGTAAAACTCATTGTAACTATGTATTGCAGAAGATGAAAGATAAATAGATTTTGGGGAAAAAAACAACAACTGAAACCAAATTAGTGGAAGATGGGTCCACTGAAGGCTAACAGTAGTCAGATGTAATGTCAAACTCAGCAGCTGGGCCATACAACCAGAGAACAGTTGTTTTTCCTTGTCCCTTGTCATTCTTGGCTTTTTTTCCCTGGTCATTTGTTACTGGCTACTGGGAGAGCCAGGATACTGGGCTAACTGGTCACATAGCTAGCCTGATCCAGGGCAGCTGTTTGTCTACTTGGAAACACTGAAAGTAAATTGTAGCCACCAATGTCAGTGCCCCGAGTCTAGGCTTGCATTGGGACATCTCCTTTTTGGGCTGCCAGGCTTGCCGCTAGCAGGTAATGAGGAATTACTCATGCATGCTGGCACTGAGCTCATACAGTCCCTTAGCAAAGAGGAAAGGATGGTTTTAGAGAGGCATTAGCTGCTGGTTTTGCAAGCCGGAAAAGCAAATCAGGTAGTCTGCCCTGTGATTAGTCAGTGCTTCAAAGGTGACCCTTTCCAACAAGAAGACTAACAGCTCTGCTTTCAACTGCTTCTCAGCTTGCTCTGTGAGAAATCATCTGCAGCGAGATGTTTGTACTTGTTAGTCTTCCATCGTCGGCCCATGAATGGGAGTGTTGGCTGTGGAGATATCTTCTGGTGATTTTCATCTCTTTGATACCTTATTTGTGGTATTAAAAAGCCCTTTATGGAAGGACCGCTAGAGAAGTTTTTACATCTTGTCTGTATCTTAAAATGAAAGCCCATCTGTTTGAATACAGGTTTGGTTTTAAACCATTTAAATCAGAGCGGCAGTTGTATAGAATGTTATTATAGACCAAAGCAAGTTTATTCCTGTAGGTGAAGGGTGTCCCTGAAACGGTGCATTATACTCATCTAACTAGATGCAAGGGCTTAAGTCAGTTTTGTTAAATCAATACAAATATTTTATTGTTGTTCTGGTTTGGGTTCAAGACAGTAGGCAATATGCTGTCTGAACAGTGTTCATCTCTGCTATGGAAGTACTGATGATATTCACACAAATTTGCTCTACTAAGGAAAAAATACATCTAATATTAAAGATACTGAGATTTGATATGCTCAGCCAGTGGTGCAGATGAGCAGATGCCCTGTGCTAGTCATGTCTTTTCAGAATAGAGCTCAGTCAAAATGAAGGCTTAGCAATGCAAAGTGGAAATTCCTGAGCACAGACATTAATATTACTTTGCATTTTACAAACTGCCTCTTCTGGAGAGTCGATGGAGTGAAAAAGAGTCTCAAGGTTGGTGTAACTGATAATTTGTTGAGCAAAGCACAGTCATGGAGGGCTGCTATCCTGTCAAATAAGATGAAATTAATAGTTTGACAAGAATAGCTTGGAGGAGGAGGGATGACAGAAAGATGGAAAATAGGAGTAAGAACTAAGCTATTCAGGAAACCGAGAGTGAGGGGAAAAAACTTTATAGAAGAGGGGGAGCTGGAGGGCAGAGGCATGAAAAGGAAGAGTTGCACTTCAAATTTTGCACAGGTTGCAGTGCAACGGCGTGAAATTCAGGGAGGTTAGCGCTGAGGTCGCAGTAGCCAAAGCAAGACTTACCTAAGGCATGGGATGGTATTTCTGAATGTTAGAAATGAATCTGTATAAATAAATAAGCTAAAATGTTTCCTGTGGGCTAGAGCTATGCCCTCATAATAGGGCTGAATTCTTGTGGGTTTACTTGTTAAAATTACGTGGCCCCATAATTACACCCTCTTTTTGAAGGGTATGTGTCATTGCATTGGTTAGAGGGGTAGACATTATCTTTAGCCATTCTTCCCCTTTTAGACTGCAAGAAACGTGTAATTGCAGGTTTAAGCCAGGACTTCTTATTCCCCAAAGTCTCCTGCATCCCCAAAATTCATGGTTAGTGAGTCAGTCCTTCTCTTATTCCAGCAGATGGTGCAGACTATTCAGGGAAGGAAGCTCCCAGAAGCATTCTGCTCCTTCCTTTGAGGGAAGGCAGACTTCCCGAGTGAGGAAAATACTGCCAGAAGGATGGCCCTTGTGCTCTGTGACTGCTATTTCACAAAAACAGAGCACCATCCTTTTTACCCAGAAGCTGAGGGAGTTTGGAAGCAGAATCTACTACGGACAGCAGTTGTTTTGTACAGAAATAGCTACAGCATGGCGGGCTACGGTGAGTTAGACTAATATTTTTAAGTGGTAGGATGGCTTGGTTGGGTGGAGGATTCTTTCATGGTAGCTTATTTCAGACACGCACTGCTACCTCAGAACAAGGACCCAGGGAGCTGTGCCCATCTCAGACGAAAGTGAAGCTGTAACGGGACATTGCCTTCTGCCAAAACAGGGCAGAAGCAGTGATATTCAGCTACAGGCGTCAAAATCCACCCCTCCTTCCCCTGGAAGCTGTCCTAACCATCCATAGCATTGTGCTGTGGAGCCAGGAGTATCTCAGTAGAAGAACAAATAGCAGACAGCAGATGCCAGATCAGCACCTTTAAACCTCCTAGTAGATACCAGTAATTGTCAGGTTTTGCCCAAGAGAAGGGTTAAGGACTGTCACATCCCTCTTATCACTGCATTGCTGCTCACAGGCAAAATACCCTCCTGTCCCTATGCCACTGAGCTCATGCCCTAATTCAAGGAATTCTGCCCATTTCACAAAGCCAGCTCTGACCCAGTGAGTGTTCGCTGCACACTCTGCAGGTGAGATGCCCAAAGCTTATTGGACTCGGACAGTCTTTACATTAGCCATTTCACCTCACAGCCCCTGTTGTCCTCTGTGATGAGGTGTAGCAAAAAGCAGATCCTTTGCAAGAGCGCTTCCTATCTTTCCCTCTGTCACACCCAGACTTTCTTCCTCCCAATCTTTGCAATTATTCAAGTTGCGTGACTTTTTCCTTTCTCTGTTGGGTCTTTTAACGCAACACCTTAAGCAAATATATTCTGCTTTACTCTTTATTATTCTGCCAACATAAAAATTACTAAAAAACACTTCATAAAATATGCCTTGAAAAATCTAGCGTTACCCAAGAACCTAGAGTTTCCCAGGAAAAGGGCTGGAGATAAGGATCCAAAGGGGTTTCCCACTGCAGACCCTCCCACATCAGGTCCCAAATAGCCGAGGGGTGGGAAAAAGGAATCTTTGAAAAGAGCCTGTGCCTGGAAATGGCTGTGACGCATCCTAGAGAAGACAACTGGTTACTAGTCCAGTTGATCTAGAGGTCATTTTCTGGGTGGGTACAGACCGTTTTCAGAGGAACACTTTGAGGGAGACATGTTCACAGGAACTGTGGAAGGAAGAGCCATATTAATATGTCTGGCTGTTGTCCAAGCTGCCAGATGCTAATGATGATTCCAGGCTACGGGGGACTCTAAGAGCTTAATAAAGACTCTAATAAGAGTCTGGGGACAAGGAAGTCTCCCTTCCAGGGCTCTCAGTCCTGGAAGAGAAATCCAGGCAGAGCAAGTTTTTCAGGTTCAACAGAGGGGAACCCCAGCCTGGAGAAGCTCATCAAGGCTGGAATGAGCTATCCCAGGACTGGTCTCTAGGGATCTGTAAAGGAAAGCAGCAAGGGATTGCCTCCTGTGGCCTCAGAGGAAGGTCTCCAAGGACAGGAGGCCTCTCTTAGCTGGTCCAAAGGGTCAGGTAGCAGTCCCAGAACACTTAGGCTCTGCTCCTCTCTTATTTGGGCATGGGGTACTCATTGACATCTGTTGCTTCATGTGAGTCCCGTAGTTCTTTTATCTGGGGAGCAGCATTGGGGTTAGGGTTCTGGACACTGCCTATAAAAAGTGGGATGCCTGTTTCATCTTCAGAGATAATGAAGACAAAGGGCCGGTCAAGACTGAAGGCAGAGACCGAGCGTGACATCGCAACACTGGTAGCAGCAGATGCTTCCACCCCATCTTCTTTAAGCTCCAGGGTAGACTGATGCTGTATACTGGATACGAAGACAGGATCATCTGTGATCTTCTGGAGATTTGGGCTTGTGAACAGCTCCTGGAGGCCTACAGAGAAATGAGATTAAGTTAACCTTTCCCAGTTGGTGCCACCAGCTCTGATTTTTCTCAAAGCTGTCCGAAGAAAGCAATTCCCTAATCTGTTGCTACATGTGTTGTCCACCATGGAGGACTGGAAAACTGGCAGGCAACAGCAACAAAAGCTGCAGTCCAGCCATGTTCCCTAGTCCCTCTCTGTACGAAGAGCTGAGGGTGCCAAAACCAGAACAGTTTTCACAAGCTTTGTCCATCTCTTTTAGAATAGTAGTGTAAGAACTTAAAGCCTTCCTTAAAAAGCAGCGGCAAGTCTGAAGGCTCTTTCTTGCTAGGCTAGAAACACTTTTAGAGAGGTTATTTTTTTAAGTAATTCTGCAAAACAAAGTGAACTCTTAATTTATTCTCATCTGGAAATGCAGTGCATGGTGTTTTATTTCAGTAAGCTCTCAGTTCCAGGTTTTGTGATCTGCATTCTCTCTTTTGGCAATTTCTATGTCCTGGATGCTATGTTAAATGAAAAAGTAAGTGGTAGACGTTGATGCACGAGAGGAAGTTGGTCTTGGCTACAAATAGGGGAATAGGAAGAACTCGTAAAGATTGTGAGGAACTGTGAATGCTGCCTTCTCTATAGTATCATCTTGTTGGAGCAAAACATTTGGTGCTAGGCAAGCAAAGAGTAAGGAGGAGGAGGAGGAGAGGGATAAGAGATGAAAGAGTTTGGATGTTATCTGGAGCAAGCTGTGAGGCACAGCTTTAGAAACAAGGATGGCAGTTTTTAGTGTCAGCGAACAGATGCCATATAGATTGATCAGCTTCGCTTATTCTGTGCAAATCCTGTTAGAGGCCTTACCCATTTGACTGAGAACCTTGTTGAGTTCCAGCTGGTAGTCCAGTTTTATTTTGGGGATCTTCACTGTGGTGGGTACCTCTTTGGGGAAAAGCCTGCACACTTGTTTATAAGGAAAGTTCTCCAGCACATGAGAGGTATTCCAAGTATACTGGTTTGGTACAATGACCACAAAACTCATGTTACTCTTAAAGGGAAACCTGGCCACCTGGAAATAAAACCAACCAGAATAATTTAGGGAAGAGGAAGGGAAGTCCAGAAAGTGATGCTTTTTCTAATTGGTCTACAGAGCCAGTCTAGCTATCGAATGAAAACAGCCTGGTGGGAAAGAGGTATCTGATTTCTTCAGAGGAGAAAGTTTGTTGGAATAACAGCATTAGATTTTAGTATTTAGCCACTGACTGGTAAAGACTGAACACATGGCGGAAGCCCACATGCACAAACATTGTACCCACTCTGGCAGTAGCCGTATTCTGAAAGGCTCCAACAGTACATTGTCTGAGGGAATTCCTTTCCATTTATCTTTAACTCAGGGCTTTAAAACTCCATTAATTCCCACTTAGTGGGAATACCTCTTTGTGGTTTTTCCTAGAGATTGAGAATGAAGACTCACCATTCTTGCTAGAAGCAAGGACAAAGGATGCTTATTAAATTTTTGTGTGCTATACCTGTTAAAAGACATTTGTTTTTTGGAGAGGATACTTGCAGTCAGTAAAATACCATAGCAAGAGGAAATTCCAATCAAAACTTGTAGTGCTCCTAATAGAGCCCTACCTGAATGTCCTGGGACTCCAGTGTAAACCAGCTCAGGGGGTACTTCTGGGCTTTCATCATCTCAACTGGGACCACGAACTCGTCATCAAGGTGGAATACATCTGGCCCAGTGAAGCTAGCATCAAACTTATTCCTCCAAAACCCTTTCAAAATAAAAGTTTAGAAACCAACAAAGTTAAATTTGGGTAGGAAAACAGAAACTGCCTAGCTGACACTCCTCCCATCATGAGTTCTCCAACAAGGCAGACAGTGACCAGGCAAGTGGAAATACAGTGAAGTCATTACCAAGGCTGGAAGAGCCCTAACAGCAGGAAGCTCTTATCTTCCAGAGAGGGACTATGGAATAACAAAAAGAACGAGGCTTAATCCTCATACCTCAGCGTGGGAGATTACTGAAGGCTATGAAGATAAAGTAATGGATGTTTGCGCTTTGAAAAATGAAGGGTATTGCCTTTGTGCTGCGTAGACTGAAACGGTGCTCCAAGACCAAGCTAAAACATTTGCAGATTTACACTGGAAGGAAGCGTTTGGTCTGTGTTTTGACGCACAACCCTCAGGGAATTAGAAGAGGAAGATGTATCTGACCACTGTGCTGTAGTCAGAAAGAAATCCGCAGAAGCTGCCTCCGAGCTCTGTGGTTGGTGTGTAGTGAGTTGCATGTGACCTGGTTAAGATGAGCAGTGATGTGCCACTGTCTGGGATCCTGAACCAGGAGGCAAAAATACTGCAGGCTGCATTCTGGCTCTGCTGTCAAGTAACATTTTTAGCACATGTGAAGCAGTTGGGAATCATTACTGTAAAGAAATCTAAGCAAGAGGAACAGCAGATGTACAAGAAAAGAACAAGCAGATTGACTAGCAGGAAGCAATGAAAAGAGATGCCATTCAGCTACAGTGCTTGCAGAAAACTAGTAGATTTCTAACTATTCCTCTTGAAAAGTAAGGCCTGTGGAGCTCACCGTGGAAATGGATTGCACTGAGCAAGAGCATCACTGTGTTTTCAGGGAGTTGTTGTAGGAAGGTGGGTATTTGCCCATTAGTTGCTTCCTTTACCCACTCATTTATGGCTACGAGGTCATCCTCACTGATCCCAGAAAGGGTCACAGGCTTTGCTCCATAGAATTTCTCTGAATCCTCCAGGAACTTCTCTTTCACCTCAAATCCTGGCAGAGGGGAAGAATTCTACATGAAGTCATCATACGTTGAAAAAAATTTGCTCAGTGGCTCAGCCAGTGGCATGACACTCCC